CCAAGAGAATTTTAAAACAAATGTTTCCGTCGAAATTTGCGTAACACTTTGCAACGTGAAAGCGTACCGCGAGATCGCTCGTCTGCCAAGACCAAAATTCTTTTCAGCAATGCCACACAATAAATAGATAACGGGCCGAAACATCATCGCTTTCGAAGCGGTATAGGCTTGTTATTGCTACGTGCTGATCGACAAAAAACAGTCGCGGTAGGGAAATTGGGCAATACACTATGTTCAATCAAATAAATTGGTCCGTATCTTTGTATTCTCTGATTGGCGGCAGTGAATGCGAGTGTTTGATCAGGGTTTCCAAACACCAAAAAATAAAAAAATAAAAAAATGACAGCACGAGGCTGTTAGTCCGAGAGCTTTTATTGTTTGGAGTTGTTTGGATTCCTGATCAAACTCGAAGCACGAGTTTTTGAACTTACTTCTCAAACCCATTAAAATGCATTTGTTCTTGAATCTCGTGAGACTAAAAATTCCATCCCAATTATTTGATTATTCGTCAGTGTTTTGATCAGTGTCTTGATCCGTTTTTATCAAGTATCAAGGTGCGTGCACGTGACTACAACGAGAGTCGCCAATGGTGATTGACCTAATAAATTGTTAAAATGAGTTGAGAAGATGTAGAGGAACTTGCTAGCACTAATAAGTATTTCTTAAATTCCTACTAACTTGGGAAGCGATGTTTCATTTTTAAAGCATCTTCACGATGTTTGGAAAGTATATAGACCTATCTCTTCTGGTCAAAGCCGTTTAATTTGGACGTAAATACACGAATCTTGACGCCTGCCTTTAAAATATTTGGTTCTTGCGCACTAATCGATATTTGCCTTTCAACCCGAGACCAGCCAAGGGTCTTGATCCCATAAACCTCTTTACATCTGCAGTAGAAAAGTGTTCCCATAGTTGACCGAATTTTTTGCTAATTTTAACATAGATTTAGAGATTAATATAGGAGATTAAAAAGTTTAGTGTACGCGTATATATATATATATATATATACATATATATATATATATGTATTAAATTTGTTGTTGTTTTGACACAACCCACAAGTGACTTCTAAAATAACCAAACTATCAAAATTGTAAATTTGACTATTTTTTTCCAGAATTTTATCATGAATCGCCTGATGATACTGTTATTTGCAGCCGTATTCTTCGCTCTGGCTTCTGCAGATGGTAATGATGGTGATGTTTTTGCTTAACATAAAACACTGTCAGTTCGCATGCATAAATTTGAAAATATTATATTGAAATCTAATAATATATTAGAATTGGAATTGGGCTATCTATGCATTAGGCGTTAAATTATATTACCAACATCATCATATCCAATTATCCGCATAGTTATTTTATTTATTTGAACTTTCAATTTCAGAAGAAGTCGACATAGCACAGAGGGGTCTCGGGTGCCGATGTAAAAGTGATGGCCCTGAATTGAATGGCGTAAAAAATTCAGGAATATTCTGGTTGTTTGGCTGTCCTTCAGGTTGGCATTATTGCGGCGAAGATCCCAATTGCTGCAAGCAGTGATCGTCTGCACTAATCCATTGTTATACAACTAAGATTTCAGATGTAATGTTAGATTAGTGGGACAATAAGAATAAAAGAAATAGTTCAATAAATGCTGATAGTTTGGAACTTTAAACCTGAGGATTTGTTGTTGTTAATTCTTGTCTATACATTGCATTAACTTCACTGTTTGGAAAATGCTAAACAAAACAAATTGAGCAATAATTCCTTTCGGTGAATGCTGTCAAATCAGCTGGATGCTATTCAATTTTTATTCCATTTTGCTAGGAACACTCCAGAAGTGATAAATAGAGAATACTTCATGAAGAGTGCGCGCGTACGGTTTTTATTCAAGAGTTGTGTAGTATCAAAAAAACGAACGAGCGAGTCTTCGAGCGATACTGAGAAATAACCTACTCAAAACGACAGTGTAATATTAAACCAATACAGAATTGCTTTCCTTTAATAATAAAAATATAATGGAAATGTGACAACTTATGCTGCACTTTTATGAGAAAAAATTGCAAAAATGTTTGACTCACGCTATTCAGAATCCGAATCTAGTACACTTCTTATCCGCTTCCATTTTCTCTTTTCAACAATTCGTGAGGTTTTGTTTTGCGAAGGAATAACAGGAGAAGTATTCAGAGTGTTAACTGAAATATTGAAATACCTGCCACTTATACTTGCTCCTTCAAATAACTTCAAAGTAGTTGGTTGTGGTGTAGAAGATGCACAAGATGCACCATGATCTGTGGTTTGTTGTTGAAGTGTCTTTGACTCGGTGTAGCTCAGAATTTCAGACATTTTACGTTGCTGTTCTATGTTAACGGAACTATAGTTCACTATAGTTTGTAAGTTTTTGTGACCACTTAACTGCATGATATGTGTTGGAGGAATGCCATTGTCATTGAGTTTCTGAATCATTAGCTTACGAGCACTGTGATTTGTTAGCCGCTCATTTGAAAGGTTGCACTTTGTCGCCATCGCTTTCATAAGCAAATTTAGTCTGTTTACACCCATTGGGGCAAACTTAAACCACTGTTTGTCACACGTATATTCATTCTTTGTGTGACTTATCCCCAAATAAAACGGTGAGTCGGCATCTAACATGTTTTGAGGTCGCTTTTCACGGTAGATTTTTTACACGCTCACTAGATCACGTTCTGTTGAGAACATCTTTGGCGGTACTTTATGTGTATTAGAAGGGTCTTCTCCAGTCCTTGTTTTCGTTTGCCTTTCCTAGTACTGTATTCTTTTTCATGTGAGTCATGATCACTGGTAAGTTTGGCATCTCCTCAGCACATTTGCCGATGCTCTTGACAGCCACGTAACCCAAAGTTTTTCAGTGAGTATTTCTCAGCATGTGTATGATAAAAGATACAGCAGACTCGAAAAGACCCTTTTTCTACCCTAAAATGTCTACTAAGGTCTATGTAAAATAGATACTTTATATGATCTTAGATATAATGAATTAGCATGACTAACCCGTTACAGCCGAACTCGCTAAGACTGGTTCAGCTTCAACCTGTTACAACGGCTTCTGAATATACTAAAAGTATACGACGGATTTATTCAATCCGTTCTAGCGGCTTAATGTTTTTTGCCATTTTTATGGTGGAGTATATGCTGACGCTATTCTATGTTCGATAAGAGT